AATTATAAGGTAAGTACTAAATTAATTTTAAATTAGTTTATCTAGTTAAGTTTTAAACTTATTATTATATATATATTTTATTTTTTTTTTTTTGGTGATTTTCTTTGGGCATTCAAGCAGTTACTTAGGCCAATAAAGCCTAATGTAAACATAGTCTAACAAGTGGAAGCTTTCTTGGTGAAGCCAAATTTGACACAATGGAGTGTGAAATAATTCTAACAATGCCTACCATTTCTTGTTATAAAAAAAGCATTTCTTTTCCTATCATACTGCAATATCATAACTCAAATGAAGTATAAAATGATCAAGTAAGCTTTTTGGAAACTTCAAGAATATCAGAAGTGTAATTTTGGTAGAAGTTGTTTACAAACATCTTTTATCAACACATCACCAAGCTGAGGTATGTTCACTTTGTGCGAATCTCTTCACGAGTCAAATGAAATTGAAGCTATGTTGGTTAATAACGTTGAAAAGAACCAAAAAAAAAGATCTTTCATTATGTGTTTAGATCACGAACCTATGACTCCTCAAAACTGAGATATAGGCAATTACATCAAGCCATGACAACGGAGGTTGAGAAACAGTGACTAGCTAAAATCGATAAAACTACAATTTTATTGAAGTTAAAAGGTTCAAATTAGAGATATTTTATTCCAAACTACTTCCACTTTTTAACTAAGAGAAGGAGGAAGATGAGTGGTGTATTATGGGGAGAAAAAATCATATTTTGTATGATTCAATGTATATTTCTAGAATATATAATTAAATATAGTTAAGTACAATTTTTAGAATGAAATTATAATTCTTCATATAGAGCAAACCTAACACTAAATCTTGGGGTAGTTAGAAATAAGTAATGTAATGCACAAACCTGTCAGAAGATTAATAAGGGCAGAATTTTCTGGAGACATAGGATTATAACTAGCAACCTCTAGAAGGTTTACTTTTAGAACCTGCTGATACACTTCTGCGAGCCAAGTGGCAGAGAGAAATACAAGAACACCACTTCCATGAACTTCCTCCACAAATCCATGCTATAAAAAGAATGAAAATATCAATCCCTTATTTTATAATCTTACTTTGTTTTATTCTGAGAAAAGTTATAAAATGTCTATTCAATTCGTAATTTAAAATTATTCCATTTAGTTTTTAAATTATCATTTTCATTTTGCATTTTAATTTTACTTGAGTTTCAGACACATAACTAAAACTTTCAATACACTAGGCTTAAACCTAAGGTACAGGAGTTGTGTGCTGGTAGTAAATATAACCAGGTGGGGATCAAAGTGTGCATGTCATAATTTTTTACAGTTATATTCATTCCAAATTGTCCATTTTAGATATACTTTCTACCCCCCTTCTAAGTTTAATATAAATTACACACTTATGACATAGATACTGCTAAAACAATCTAAATTTAAACCATTCATTCAAACTTTTTGCTTTACTGAAACTAGAAATATATATCCTCCTGTAATATCCTGTCTTGAAAAAATGTCAATAATCCTTTCCAACATGTGCTATTAGATTATTTATACCCAATAGAATGATATTATTTCAATTCACTGAACTGTTTCTAAAGCTAGCTCATTCTTATGACAGTTTCTGAATTATTCGGCATACAGTTTCATTATTACTATTGCTAAGACCACATTGGTTAGATACCAGAATCATTATTATCCAATTATAGCGTACTTAGAAAACTAGTTAAATAATAATAGATTTGGGAGTTGTTGTTTTTTTATGTTTATATTTTGTGTTATAAACTGCACATTTGAATTTTAAGACATTTTTATATACTATGAAGAGCACTACCAAGAAGTAGGGCTAAGTTTCGATGAAACATCAATAACCCAGGCCAAGACCCACACATAATAATGTATTTTGTGTGTTTTTATGGGTATTTATTTTTTATTTTTCTTAAAGTAACTGAAATGTAAAATCGAGAAACTTACAAGGTTAGACAAGGAAACTTAATTTTAAAAAAATTTTCCACAAGAAATGCACATGAGCTGCTCAAGCATGATGTAATTCAATACTTTGTTTACCATAAGTTACACTATGCTTTTTCCAGGTGATGTATTGCTTTGTTATGCTAGTTTAGTAGTTAACGATAGTTCAAAGAGTAATAAAACAATAAAATTAAATAAAAGCAGTTATCAAAAAGTTATAGGACTGAAGATTTTAGTATAAATAACTAACTGTCTGTTACAATATGCAGTCATTCAAGAAAGAAAAAAGGATAATTTAGCTTTATTTCATTCTTTTTATGTAGTGATTACAAAGTTGGTCAAATTGACTGAGACTGTATACAGTTAGTGTTAGGGTAAGAAAAACAACAGAAAAAAATATAAAGTTTTACTGACAAAACACATCTGATAATCATTTAAGAGGTTCTAGAGGTGATGTAAATGAAATATGAAAACCGTAAAATGAAAATAAGAATTTATATTCTTAATATTAAAATCACCTTGCACTCAGACTAATCAGAGTCCGAGTCCAATTGACAAGTAAGTTCCCAAACAAATCTTTAGTAGAAATACTTTACTCCTAAAAGATACTAATACTAAAAGATATAAACTTTCATGAAGTTAGATTGAGTAAACTCAGAATTACAATAAACAATAATTCTCCCAAATGGATTAGGTCCAGTGGACCTACCCATGAACTGAGGAATAACTAGTCAGCAGACATGAATTTTCAGGAAGTGTCACATTTTCAATTTCATATCTTTTCAACATACTCTCACATTTTATATTTCTATGACAATAATTACATCTCCTAATATGAAAGGAAAAAATACATAATACACACATGCTCAAACTAATGGAGCTGCAACAGGTTCAAGCTTAACACCATCTCTTTCTAATTTGTTTCTTTGTCATTATGAAATGTGATGAAAAACTGCCATTGAAATTTAAATTGATGATAATTTTGTCATTTTTAGTGTTCCTCAACATATATGAGAATTTTTACAGTATCTTAACACCTGCAACGTGGGCCAGCCCAGCATCTTGATGTGGATTGAAAAAAAAAAGAGTCTTCCTTAAAAAGTTTTAGGGTTGTTTTGATTAGATAAAAAAAAGAAGACATTTGGCACTATTTTTGAGGTCTAGGTCACTGGACCAGACCCGTGACCTAACCTGAGACCATGAGAGACAACATGGAGAAGTTAACTTGTAAATGTAAAGTAAAATGATGTAGCAATGAAACATGCTTGAAATGTTCTAGATGTGGTTGTGAATGTGATGATTTAAGTGTAGTGATTAAGCTAAACCACGAGTTCAGGTTGGATGAGGGAAGAACTTATTCAAGGATATCCCAATTGATTGGATATACCAGCTGAATTGAAGATTCATCAATTGATTATGCAGTGACGACAAAACATAAAAACAATGGGTAGAATAGTATCATCATTTTCAAACATGGGAATTGGAATCATATATAAGATATCATTAGTTTCAATATTTTGTGAAATCAATGACACAGTAAAGCTCAAAGATGCAGAGTTGAAGCAGATGCTCAATGCATCACAAAATGATGTCCCTAGCAATTCTCAGATTAAAAATTACATTTCTGCAATGAAGAGTAAATATAAGAAGGATGGTGTAATGTCCAGTATGGTACCACCATAGTATAATCGATATAGATTTCAGAGTGTCATATTTTCATTAATATTTCATTTTAGAAGTAGTGTCAAGCTTCATTCATCGAGATCTATTGAAATAACCCCAAATCATTGGTTTCCAGAATGGTCCCCTTGTCAACCATCTTAGGTTTAGTACTAAAAGGTGATGGGCTGACTCTGGTGGCAGGTGTTAATAATCAAACAAAATTAAATGGTTTGCCGTGAAAGATCCTGAAAAACATCAACTTGCCTTTGTTGATACAGTTGATATAGAATAATAATAGTAGTTGTGAATGTGAAGTGTCTCATAAATATATATTTACGATTATATATATTTTAATTTTAACAGTTGGATTATTGGTATTAAACAAAGAAAATTTAATGTTCCAAACAAATAATATCTATAATATTATGAGATATGGGTAAACAAATATAAATGTAAACAATAAGTTGTATGAGATATTTCATAGATCCTATCCACAACTTGGTTTAAGAGTAGTTTATAAAACTGAGAATAGAATAGAATTTTATTTAAAATTCTATTCTATTTTCAGTTTTATAAACTACTCTTAAACCAAGTTGTGGATAGAATCTATGAAATATCTCATACAACTTATTGTTTACATTTATATTTGTATTTATACCTTAAAAAGAGCTCTCTTTTTAAGGTATAAAGGCAAAATTTCATACTTAAAAATATCTAAAGTGATATATATATATTTAAATGTTCTATATGTGATTATAAGTATACCAGTTTGATCATTAAGTGGTTAGAAACACACATAAAAGATCATGTAAATTTAGTGAATAATAATAATTAATCAAGTAAACATAATCATGTGCTTGGCAAATGTGATATTTCCACATGTAGAGGACATGACCAGGAGAGTTTTAATCTAAACATTTTTGATTAACACATTAAAACCAGAGCTGAACAAGATTATTATAAATAAAATAAAAATTATGTTTCACTGAAGAAGAACATTAGAAATGTCTTTCAATACTTATGATCCAATTTTGACTACTTTTTTAATATAAATGTTAGAAAAATGCAGTAAACTCTACTGACCTCAGTGAGTGGTATTGGCTGCTCCTGGTTGATATAGTATTTGTTTCGCAGCAATTTCAGGTTCAACAGTAAAGCAGAGAAGGTTGCCAGGTAAATCCCATCTGCATTCACTATTGTTACGCGTGATAATGAGTCATAATCCTTATTGATACTATGTCCTGTGATTTCTTCTCTCTGTGAATGCCATATCCCTTGTAAAATATGAAAAATACGTGTTTTAAAACTATACTCCAACTATTTTGTGTGCCTGTAAATACTACTTTGCTTTCTAAGAATTAGAAAAAAAAATTTAGTATTTTGTTTATATGTTTTGGAAAATAAATTTTAGAAAATCAAAAAACAAAATAATCCTCACTACTTGCTTACATCCTTTATTTTCATTCAGTCAGTTAATGTGTTTTCTCCTTGAGTCTATGAAGTCCTGTAATATTGGCATGTTCTGAAGTGTCTAGACTATCATTAAATGTTTCAATTTTATTGGCATGAACTTTAAAACCATCTATTCATTTAAAAGAACTTGCTAAAAATGCAAAAAGTAAGTCACCTTAAACCTAGAATTATTGATGTGGTCCATATGGATCCAGTTAGATTTTTAAACACATTTTTGTAAACTATTTAAGCACCACATTGCTTATGCATCCATAACTTTGTCAATTACAGGATACCTAACAACACATGAATCACACAAAAATACTATCAGTACTGCAATTAATCCTACCAATTACTGCTAGGATTACATAAAAAAATGAGTTACTTAACCCAATTTATTTAATCAGTTCTTTACAATAAGTACTATGAGAAGCCAAAACAATGAAATTACTCAATGTGATGCAATATGTAGACTTCCATTGGCAGTGAACAGTACATACAAAATCAACAAACCAATCACAATAGGAATATAGTGCTTGCTTTGAACAAAAAACTTATCAGGTGAGAAAGTAATTAAACTATGTCTAAAAATCCTTTTCACAACTACTGTTAATAGAGCCTTCACATAATTATACTTACTAAATGACAGGTATTAGGATGGGAATCGAATCCATACTAATAAAAATACTTTTATAAAGGTTAGTTGGGTAAAATAATATTGAAGATAATGCACTTTATAATTACAAGAGCTGCAATTAATTCATGATGCTTATGTATGCAATTTTTTGATAATTTATTTAGTAAATACTAATTGTTTAGTTTAAAGAGGTAAAGAACTGAAAAATACTGAATCAAGGATGCATGGTGCTAAAAGAATATCAGCTAAAGTATTTAACACTTGTTTTTAACTCCATATGAATAATTCGTTTAGTAATTGAATAACATAAGATGTTAAAATAATAGCTCAACCTAAAAGTGTAATAGGTAATAATATTTGTGAATCGTTAGAAATAATAAAACGCAAAAAAGATCATGTAGTATTAAATAGAGATGAAGGTTTGGAGAATATTTTGCAAGAATGTGGAG